TCTGGAGAGGAGTCTGAGGCCTGGCAGGGAAGGGAACCACGCCTTCTAAGCCAACAAACAAGGGTATGTTTGGGCCTCTCCTAGTCCAGCGTGGGCCTGCCTCCCGCTGCCGCGCTGCCTCTGGCTGGGGAGGGGCGCTGTCCAAGGTGGCGTCCTGGGTGGGGTGACAGCAGTCCACCTCACCACACTCCAGCCGTGCACCTGCCCGCGACGTTGCCCAAGCCCAGGCCTGGCCCGGCGCCTGGCTGGTTCCCAGGGGGAACGGAGGGTCAGCAGTGGAGTTGGGCTAGCTGTGGTCGGCAAACCGCAGCTCTCGAACCACATGCGGCTCTTTAGCCCCTTCAGTGTGGCTCTTCCACAAAATACCACGTGTGGGCGCGCACGTACAGTGCGATTGAAACTTTGTGGCCCATGGGCAGAAGTCGGTATTTTGTGGAAGAGCCACACTCAAGGGGCCAAAGAGCCACATGTGGCTCTCGAGCCGCGGTTTGCCAAGCTGCAGTTTGCCGGCCATTGGAGGGGGACCGGGTTCTCACAGGAGGCCGAGTCCGGCAGGCGGTGTGTGCAGGGGCAGCTCACACGCTTCAGATGGGCGAGGCCCGGGAGGGGTCAGCGTTGAGGGCGGCCTGATCGTGAAGCAGACGCAGTGGCCTCGGAGTGACCCTCACGTGGCTGCCCTCCGGTAGCCGTGACCGGAGCCCACACCCCGTGCTGATGAGTCTGTCCTTTCGTTTCAGGCTCTGGACGTGGACCGGATGGTTCTGTACAAAATGAAGAAATCCGTGAAAGCGATCAACATCTCCGGGCTGGGTGAGTCGTCTCCCTGGGCTTCTCCGTGGGCAGCACCGCCCCTGAGCCCCAGGCCGCCGGCTCCGTCACTGTTAGCGAATAACCAACTAAATCCCTCCCTCCCTCCCTCTCTCCTTCATTGATTTCAGAGAGGAAGAGAGAGGGAGAGAGAGATATAAACATCAATGATGAGAATCATTGATCGGCTGCCTCCCACATGCCCCCTACTGGGGACCGAGCCCACAACCTGGGTGTGTGGGCCCTTGACCGGATTCAAACCTGGGACCCTTCAGTCCTAAGGCCGGTGCTCTATCCACTGGACCACACTGGCTAGGGCTCTTTATATTTTAATAAATCTTTATTGTTGAAAGTATTACACATGTCCCCTTACCTCCCCCATTGGCCTCCTCAAGGCCCTGCCCCAGGCCCTCACCGCCCCATTGTCTGTGTCCGTGGGTTATGCCTGTATGCAGACAAGGTCTTTGGGTGACTAAATCTCCTTTTTCTGGGCGTGCAATGACAGAGGTGGGCTGGGGTGCTTACATTTTAGAAGTGTTTCTGCTTTGCTCATTGTCCGGTCCTGGTGTGGGGTCCTGTCCCGCGCCCCCCACCGTGTCCCACATTGTACTTCTGTTCCCTGGGCAGCAGAACCAGCTTCGCCACGCTGGTGGGCCAGCGCCGGGCCCGGTCCTGCCCTGTTCCTCACATTGTGCGGCTAGTCATTCCGATGCCCTTCCCACTTCTCTCTCAACCCGATTCTCGCCTTTCTAGTTTGGGAAGAAAACGAATAAATATTAGCGTATAGTCAACTATTCCACGTGATACTCGGTCTAGTCTTACATAAATAAGTTTCTTTTTAAAAGAACACATACCGCTGCCTTGGACTTCAAGGTCGCAGGCTGCACATGTGGCAGGTCGGCCCCCCGCACAAAACCTGACAACCGATAGAAAATACAGTTTGTAAGTCATCAGGTGACTCTGTCATTCCCTCAAAAGCCAGTGGCAGCCTTAGGGGACCAGACACGGAGGGGGATCCCCGAGAGATCGGAATCGGGCTGATGGATTGCGGAGACGGCCGGTGGGGAGAGCACCCCACCCTGAGGATGGAGACACGCGGGCCTGAGGGA